TTAAAGATATAAATAGTAATAATGTGAGTTGGCATGAGTTATAATAAAAAAAATTTCATGTCAACACGTTTTTAATTTGTTTTTGCCACGTCATCAAAAAAAATTATAAAAAATACCACATAAGCGAGTTAACGGCCTAAATTAACAGAAAGAGTAACAGAGTGCATTTCGTATAGTTGAAGGATAAAAAAGTGTAAAAAATTGTTGAGGACCAAAAATGTGCAACTCACTAAAGTTGAGGGACCAAATTTAGCATTTAACCTTTTTTTTAACAGAAGAAAAAGAAAAAATAAGGTTAAAACCCCATTTTGGGCCCTAAATTCTTATATGTACCCCTAATTTGGTCCCTAAACTTAAAAAATCCTTGATTTAATCCCTACTGTTTACAATTTTGCCCTGATTTAGTCATTCCGTTAAATTTTTGCTGAGGTGGCATGTTAATTGACGAAATAAAAATGACATGTCCAAATATTTAACACATTAAATGACGTGGCTAAAAACCTTTGCCACCTAATTAAACAAATATAATTATCCAATCCATCAAATTTACAATTTTGCCCTCATCTTCTTCCTCAGCATCCTCCTTCTCGAATCTTCTTTATTCATTCTAAATCAAACAATCATCATCAAACAAAATTCATCGCCATCATCAAACCAAATTGCCTCATCTGAGGCTTGTTGGGTTCAAAAAACCCAGTGGAGCTGCTTGGTTTTGAAACCTAGCAGATTTGTTGCGAACCCAGCAAATGGCCCTCATCTTCTTCCTCAGCATCCTCCCTCTTAAATCTTCTTCATTCATTCTAAATCGAACAATCATCATCAAACAAAATCATCGTTGTCATCAAACCAAATTGCCTCATCCGAGGCTTGTTAGGTTCTTTCGACCCAGTGGAGTTGTTGGGTTCAAAACAATCCAACAGATCTGATGGGTTCGAGGGCCCTCATCTTCTTTCTCAGCATCTTCCCTCTCGAATCTTCTTCATTCATTCTAAATCAAACAATCATCATCAAACAAAATTCATCGTCATCATCAAACCAAATTGCCTCATCCGAGGCTTGTTGGGTTTGAAAGAACCCAGTGGAAACTAGCAGCTCCTGGGTTCAAAATAACCCAGCAGATTCTGCTAGGTATGGAACCCAATGGATCTGTCCATTGGGTTCGATACCCAGCAAATCCGTTGGGTTCAATCTAAGCCAGCAATGGTAGAGGAAAGAGAAGAACCCAGCAATGGTAAAGGAAAGAGAAAGGGAAAGTGGAAAGAGAGGAACGAAAAAAAAAAAAAAAAAAAAAGAGGCTAAAAAATGGGAATTTTTTGGGTGAGATGAGTTGGAAATTGCCATGTCATTTAATTTTGCCACATCATTTAATTTTGTCACGTAATGCTTCTTTCGTCAATTAACGTGAAAAAATTAACGAAATGACTAAATTGGAGTAAAAATGATAAACAATAAGAACCAAATCGGGGATCCATACAATAATTCAGAGACCAAAAATGAAGTTTTAACCAAAAAATAATTATGCTTTGCAATTTATATTGTACATAATTTTCTGTTTTAAAAAATCCAAAATCCGAACCCTTGAAACTTCAATTTGTCCCCTTTCCTTTTAATCTAATTTTCTGCTTGGACACAAAAGCTAATCAAAGAAGAAAACAATAACTTGTATCCATTGATTCGTAAAATGGGCGTCATCACATTGGGATGAAAAAGGAAGCAACCACTGAACCATATGAATGATTTAATTATTGTTTTGACATCAACTGTTCTTGTTTGAATTCACATTGACATTGTGATGAAGCACTACGATGAGGTGTGTGTGGTTTATTTTGTAGTAAAGTATTTTTCTCCTGATTTACTTTCCAGAGAAGAGGGGCGTGCACATGTTTGTTGTGTATACTCAACCTTTTGGGCTAAAAAAGCAGCAAGAGAAAATCATTATATAAGGACAAAAGGTCGACGGCTTTTAAATGAATCTGAACAACATAATAGAATGACACAACAGTTTTGGCCAAATAGAAAACGATACATCATTCTACTACTAGTACTATTCAAACAATGGATGAGTTTATACAAATATTGAATACTCAAATAATTTGATTGAACTCTTCCCCTATTTTATTTCTTTCAAGTTAAACATAGTCTTTAAAGTAAATTATGCAAAGAGATAGTCATGAAATTTTCCAAATTTCTTTGCTCTTTTAAAGTTGATATGAGCCCTCAAAAGTATAAAGATCAAAATTTTTAATCTTTGAGACATTATAATAGCTTGAGTAACTGAAGTTGATTTGTTGATTGTATGGGCAAAAGAGCAGCCAAAATATTCCTACTGGAACCAATTTCAGACATGATCCGGCTTGATTTTTGGAACTTGGGTGCTCATGGGGCCAGGATGGACCATGCGGAAGGTCCCGCGCCCACATGAAAAGAAAACAGCACTCATCATCACTTGGCCCGACATGGCGACATGGGTCCCTGTAGAAAAACCATGCGGGTCAGCCATTGGGGTGAATTCAACTTGACTATTCACTACATCCTTTTTTTTGTTTTTTTACTTAAAAAAAAAAAAAAAAAAAAAAAAAGGAGAGAGAGGAGAGTTTGCTGTAGCTCCAGTTTAGTTTGGTTTTGGGTTACGTTTTTTAATTTAACTTTTATATATTTAGTTCTAATTAATATTCTACTATATATGGCACATTCTAATTTTTAAATACATTAAAAAAAAAAAAGGAAACAAGGATTAAAGGGGAAAAAAAAAAGAGAGAGGAAGAAACAAGAATAAAAAGGCCTACATGTCGAAAGTCATAGAAAGTAGAACATGAAATGAAAATGATAGCTTTTTGGTATGGTCCAGGATGCATCTTCTGCATACTCAGCTCCTAATTGGCTAACCTTTCCGGGTAGATTTTTGTTTGGAGTGGGAAAACCTTTCATTTGATCCAACACTTTCTTTAACCTCCTCTAATCATCCTTTTTTCTCCTTCCAACTTCCATTTATGCTTTATTTGATCATTGTTGGTTAGGTAGCTTTTTCTCCTTTTTTCTTTTTTGGGTTTTTTTAATGATTTTTATTTTTTTATATTTTATTTTTGGGGGTTAGGGGAATGGGATTTTCTCTCTCAACTTTGTGAGCCTGTCCACTACTGGGCCTTATTGTTAACATGTCAGGTGAATTGGATTGGGCCTTCGCGTTCGGGCCCCATTTATCAGACAATAAGTTACCAGTAATAATAATCACCAAGATATTTGGATTTAGAAATTTAAAAATTATTGTCTACTTTGAATTATTTTAAGTTGTATAATTTTTGTACAATAAAAATTATTAAATAAATAAATGATAATTTTTTTGATATTAAAAATCATTCCTAATCTAATTATTATTGTTTTATATTGTGAATTTGAAAATAAAATATTTAAATTTTTTATTTGACTTTTTTTTAAGAAAAAGATGGCGCTAAACCTTTTAATTATTCTTTTTTTTGGTGTGTGGAAAGATTAATGCTGAAGGATTATAGGAAAGAGTTCTGAAAATTAGACCCTTCTAATTATTCTTTAAGGTACATTAAAAAATGAGAAAAAATTATATAATTTTTAACCCATTGAATTATGATACAAACTCACTCACTAACATTGGTGGTAAGAAAAGTACAGTGAAAACAATCATCAACTTGGTTTGTAATCTTCCTTTAAAAAAAAAATAAATAAAAACCTGTCTTTCTCAAAAGTTAAAGTTCCTAGCCTTGACTTCATTGTCAAGATTGTAGAACCCCACGGCACCTTTTGATTGATAATTGATCTCCACTGGAATTACAGAAAACACCCGCTAGTAACTTTGTTATTGGAATTGAAAAGGAAGAAATCAGGGGGTCAATAATGCTCGAGACATATTAAAAACAAGGGCTATATAGCCCTGGGTATGCCTATGTGAATATGTATATATTGAACTTTCATGAAAGGCAAAAAAAGTTGCCTTTAAAAAAAAAAAAAATAGAAGTTATATTAAAAACAAGGGCTATATAGCCCTGGGTATGCCTATGTGAATATGTATATATTGAACTTTCATGAAAGGCAAAAAAAGTTGCCTTTTTTTTTTAAAAAAAAATAGAAGTTATATTTTGTAGCATGAATTGTATGATAAATAAAGAACTATTGATAGAAAAACATTTTTATATCAAAGGTTTTACTTTTTATTTAATAATTTAAATTATATAGTTTAATTTCAATCTATCTTTAATAAGTGAAAAAATTCCACATTAAGAATATAATAAATAAATATATAATTTAAGAATATCTATCTTTAATAATTTATAGAATATTTGAGAACAAGTTTTATTCTTAAGAAGTCCATTAACAGTTCGTTTGATAAGACTCAAAATTTATATCAAATTTACTATAAAAACATGTATTAAGTCAAACATGTAAAGAAATGTGTTGAATAAAAAATTTTACATATAAATATAATAAAAAATGTGATTGAAATATAAAAAAAGTTTATTTATTTATTTTTAATTTTCATTACACTAAAATATATAATACATTTTTATACTTCCACTTGTACCAAATTACAGAATATTTTGAATAGTTCGTTTCGATTTAGTGGCATTGAATATTTGGTTAAAATCATTAAATTCTTATAGGTTACATGTTTGAATTTTACGAAGTTTTTTTAAAATTAATATGTAAATAATTATAATATATTAAAAAAATTATATAATATTTTTATTTTGTAATTTTTTTTACTTTACCGTACCAAATTACGTACATTTTCATTTTTGTAAAAATAAACTGTTCAACCAGACAAGGCCAAAAGGGCAATTTGGAAAGAATGAGTAAGTTGCTACCGACGGGGCGCAGAAGATGCCGCAGTAGATTCGGTACGTCAGCCCTACATTCAACTTTAGGCGCTAAAATTTCGCTTGGCTCCATCCTATATCCTGAAACAGAGAGCTGGCACGAGCGGACTGCAATTCCCACACGCGTGCCTCCAGGAACCTGCCAACGCAGATATCGCACATGTGCCACGGCGGCACGTGCCCCCTCTGCTGACGTGTCACCACTTTTGTCGTTTTCTGATTTGACTCCCTCTTGGTTTGGACATCAAACGTGATTAAAAGTGAATTACCTCTTAGTGCCCTTGAGCTTTTGCTTTAACGACACTTGAGTACTAAATAGAAAAATTAAAGTAAAAAAAAAGAAAAGAAAAATCATTTATAAACAGTTATTTGTAAAATATTTACTATAAAGAAATTTTACATGGGGAAGAAAATGCATTACTCAAAGTGAGTTGTGATTGAATCAAAGTCTTCTTTTCGTGCAAGTTTAGACAAGGAATTAGATGTGCAATGGCATGACACACTTTTTTTTTTTTTGGAGTCACCAAGTGGTATAATACACTTATTCTCTCCTTTTACTTCCTTCTAAGTGGATTCTTTTCTGGAAAATTCTCTTATTTTGTCAATCTTAAATCTCACGATTTGTTTTTTAAAATAACATAAAACAAATTAAATTCTTATAGATATTTTTCCCTTATTTCCAAACAAGCCACTTGCCAAAAAAAAAAAAAGGGTTCCCCTTTTTGAACATGCCAAAAAGTGGAGCATATTCCATTATTCTTGTGATTGAACCTCTTTTTTTTATTATTATTTATGGTAAAGGTGTTTTTAAGTTTAATATATTTAAAAACATTAATTTTTTAAGTAATAATTTAAAATTTAAAATTTTAGTTTAAAAATAATATTTATTTATCAATAAATTTAATGTTAAGCTTTAGATTAAACAAATTTGTTTGCTATTTTTTGTGTGAAATACTGAAATGGGAATGCCTAGGTTTGACCTTTTATTTTGGTTTATTTGAAATTTTATTAAACAAGAAAATTCATTAGCAAAGAATATTTTTGGAAGGGTTATCTTTGGGAATTTTGAACTTCCAATTAGTTAAAACCAAACTATAAGAAAAAAAGTTATAAGGGTATTTGTTTTGGCGTTTACAATTAGTTATTAATCGTTAATTTTAATTAAATAAATTAGATATTTTAAATTATAAATAATAATAATTAACAATTAAATATTAATTTTCAAGTATTAATTATATTTAAACAACTTATCCAAATACCCTTAGAAGCATTTTTAAGGAAATGTGACCTCACTTGTTTTCAATTTTCAAAATAAATTGCTATAAATTTAAGTTAAATTAAATGAACAATACCATATTGCGAAAGCCAATACTCAAAAATTGTAGTGTATAAACTGACCTCCATGTGACATTTAATAGTTGTTGAACTTATTTAAAAATTGTTTACTTTAAAATAAATGTTTGATTGAAAACCCTTTAGAATTTCTTTTATACGTATGTATAAGTTAAATAAATTCTATAAATTAAAAAAGTAGAAATTCAAGAGCATACACCTAACAAAAAATGGTTCATAAATGGAGGCCATACCCTATCAATTAATGGATAACGTTCGCAGTCCCTCATCATTGTTGCAATGCTTCTTTGAATCAATTTCATACATTCTTTAAAAAATTATTGTTCTGAGGATAGTGTTGATCATTTATGATGAGTTGGTGATTGATTTCTAAGTCTAAAGGGACGGAATATGTAACCAAATATGCATCTTTATTATAGTTAATTTATAAATTTATAAATTAATACCATATTTGGTCCATTTTATTGGTAATGACACCTGTTTTTAGTTTTTTTTTTTTATATATAATATATGAATCACAATTTTAATTTTTTACAAAATAAAATTACTTAATTAAAATTATATATTCTAAAAAAATTTAAAGTTATTATTTATATATTTAAAAAATGTCACTTAATTTTATGTAACATTTAAGTGCATCATCACTCGTTTGTAACCATGGATGAAAAGCTATTTGGGCCAATATCAATACATGAACTTTTTACTTTAAGCACTTATGGTCCCTAAATTATTTTTAATATTTTTTTGATCCCTCAACCTTAGACATTGCACTTTTTTTCGTCTTTTCATCAATTAAATGATGATGTGGCTATGGACTTATTTAAAAATTTATTTTCCTTCACATATTTAATAACATATCCACTATAAATGGGTCTTTTAACTTATCTAGACAAAATATATAATTTTCATATTGAAAATTTTAGTTTAAATGAATAAAACAATAAATTTTAAAAAATAAAAAAAACTATCCCCCATTAAAAATATTGAGACTTATAGAATTAAAAAAATATACTTAAATTCTTCTTTGTCTTTAAACTTCTTCCTGACTAGAAATATTTTTGAGCACCATTGAGTCCTTGTAAGCTAATTTAATGATATAAGATCACCATATCATAAAAAAATTGCCACTTTGGATTGATTTAGTGGCCACATAATTACTTAACTGACCAAAGAATGAAAGGAGTGCAATTTAGGAAGTTAAGGGACAAAAAAAAAAAACACTTAAAATAATGTAAAAATAAGAAATATTTAAAATGCAAAATATAAAAACTAAATAGTAATTAGGCACAGGGGTTTGGTTGAATGATCAATTAGGTTAGTTGGCTTATATTTGATCTAATCGGTATACATTTATCTTGAGATTTGTACAATTTGACCAAAAATCCGCGATAATTTTTTTTTAAAAAAATTCGTTTAGATTGTGTCTATATGACTATTAATTTTAAATTACTAATTTAAAGTTTATGAAATATCCATATGTAAATTATATAAAGAAGGATTGTTAAATTCTTAATTTTATTCCCATTTCATGCTATGCTATCATTTTATTGATATATAAGAATTTAATAAGTTACATAAGAAGAAATATAATATTATTATTTTCGTCATTATTACTCTATAACAAGTCATTATTTTGTTGATATATATAAATGTGAGTTATACAATGGAGGTAAGTGTTACTTTGTTGACATATCTAATTATGAACTATACTAAAATAGAGATTCATATTCTTGCTTTCCTTCATATATGAACTTGATCCATAATAAAGACAACCATTATTCAGGAGAGTTATTCATTCATGCTTTCCTCCAATTGCCAACTTCGTTTCATAAATTCGAACTTCAATACTTCCATTTTTGAGAATTGTAAACTTCAAACAATTGAATATTATCCTCAATAAATGTAACTAAATGTGCAATTTAAAAAAATAACAGCAACCTATGAACATATTAAGCAAAAAAATAAAAATGTATGACCAACATAAATGAATATTAAAATATAACGTTTGGATTGCCTTTGAGGAGGACAAATTTGGATTTTTAAAATATATTATACCTCTAAATTTTATGTTTTTTTTAAACATATTATAATTATTTATATATTAATTAAAAAATAATTTCATGAAATTCAAACACATAATTTATAAAAAATAAATAATTTTAATTCAGATCTATTACTACTGGACTGAAACAACTCGTTCCTTCAAATTCTATGCTTAACTTTATATAAATAATAAATCTTTATATATTTGTATATATTTTGTTGAAATTAAAGGAGAATTCAAATTCGGAAAAGCTGATAAGAAAGCATGACACACAAGTCTTGTCATTTCTACAATTTTTCAGGGGTAAATTAGTCAGAAAATTTTCTCCGGTAAATTATCCCAGAATCCAGGGGCAAATCCGGAGTCATAAATGGCAGTATCGGGTCCAACCCAGAGATAATAATAAAAAAGGAAAAAGAAAAAAAAAGGAAATTAATAATTAAAAAAAATCAATTTTTTTTGGGCGGACGCGAGAGCAGATTGAAATATGATTTAATCGCAGGGTTGAGATACGGACGCTAATCCCTCCTTTTCTTCTTTTTTTTTTTTTTTTTGCTCTCTCATCCCCAGGCCCTCTTTGTTCCTTATCGGCTCACGTTCTCACTTTCTTCCCCCACACATTGATTTTCCGGGAAAACCTCAAGAAAATCCAAGAAAATCCCGTTCTAAGGCCAAAGGCAGTCGAGTTCTGAAGATCACAAACCCTAACAAGGAGTAACCATAGCTGGCACAGGCCTCCTCGATCTGAATCACTTAGTCTAGGAAATCAGGTACTGCCTGGTTTTCTTTTTTATGGCTCTGTTATTTTCAGCCTTTTCAATAACCCTAGTTTGGTCCGGTGCGATCTGGAGTGAGAAACCCTATTAAGCACCATCTCTCCGCGCTAGTTTCTTGTCTTTTTCCTTTGTGAAACCCTAGATTTTGGTGGTTGTGGCGGCGGAAGGGTGCGTTTGAGAGACGGACTTGGTATCTGCTTGGTTGGTTGGGTACGGTGGCTTTTTGTTGTGCCTCATGCGATTTGATGCCGCCAGAACCATTGCCTTGGGATCGGAAGGACTGCTTCAAGGAGAGGAAGCACGAGCGCCCAGACCCTGGGGCGCGATGGAGGGAGTCTCTCTCCATGTCCTATCATCATGGATCATCGCGCGAGTTCGCTCGATCGGGAGCCGCTGACTTCCGCAGACCTCCTGGTGAGTTTGCTCCCCCTTCATCTTTTCAATTTGCTATTTGATGTAGTTTTTAGAACTGGGACTTCTAATTGGAGGTTTTTCGGGCTTCCAGATTAAGGTTCTTTGCCAGTTCATGTGTGTGGGCAGGGAGCTCTTATGTCTCTGGTTTTTTGTTTTCCACCATTTACTTTCGGATCTGATTTACGTTTCTTCCAATAGTTCCCCAGGATGTTTCTTTTAACCAGTGAGATTGCTTAGATCTGTGGTTTTGGGTGCTGTAAGGAATTTAATCTTCCTTCTGTCCTTGGAACTTTTTCCCATATAACACTGTTAATTTTTAAGCCTAATTGCCTTCAGTTTTTGAGAATATTTCCCAGAAAATATCAGAACATAAGATTATATAACTTTTTTTTTTTTTGCAAAAGAATATAATATCTTCTGTTTTCGTGGATCTGTAATTCTATTTTGTGGGAGAGATTATGTCCTCTCTCTCTTTGTAATTTCAGAAAAATATAAGTTTTGGTTGCCTTAAATGTTTACAATCTCCCGTTTGTTGTTTAAATATTTTATGAAGGTCATGGTAAGCTGGGTGGTTGGCATCAGTTTGCTGGAGACCCTGGTTATGGGTATGGTCCTTTGCGGTCTGCTGACAAGATGTTGGAAGCAGAAAGCTGCCGCCCATTTTTTTCTCGTGGGGATGGAAAATATTTTAGGAATAATGTTAGAGAAAATAGGGGGTCATATAGCCAGAGAGATTGGAAAGGAGGTCATGCCTGGGAAACAAGCAATGGTTTCCCCAACACATATGGAAGGCTAGATGACATGAACAATGAACAGAGGTCAGTTGATGATATGCTAACGTACCCCCCTCATTCTAGTTCTGAATTTGTGAACAGTTGCGATCAACTTCACCCAAAAGACCAGCATGATAATAGAGCAAGTGGTGGCAATGGGTTGAGCACTGGAGTGAGAAGTGAGAGGGAGAACTCAGTTGGCTCAATGGATTGGAAGCCTCTCAAGTGGAACCGCTCTGGTAGCCTATCTTCACGGGGCTCAGGTTTCAGCCATTCAAATAGCTCGAAGAGCTTAGGAGGTTTAGATCCCACTGAAGGAAAGGCTGAGTCTCAACAAAAAAATGTGACTCCAGTTCAATCACCTTCTGGTGATGCCGCTGCCTGTGTGACATCTGCTGCACCATGTGAGGAGACAACTTCCAGGAAGAAGCCACGCCTTGGGTGGGGTGAGGGGCTGGCGAAATATGAGAAAAAAAAGGTTGAAGGTCCTGATTTAAGTGCAAATGGAGGTGGGACTGCAGTTTCCATCAGTAATCAAGAGTTGAACCATTCTATGGCTTCAAACTTAGCTGATAAGAGCCCTAGGGTTCTGGCTTTGTCTGATTGTGCATCTCCTGCAACTCCCTCCTCTGTTGCTTGCAGTTCTTCACCAGGTATATCTTTTAAGTTTTAAACAACACATTTTGTTTTCAAGTTTATGAAAGTTATGCAATATTTATACTTTGGTTGTTGAAGTTTGGATGAAAGCATCAAGCCTTGCCCATGTTCATCGTTTGAGTGAGCCAAAAGAGCCAAAGCTATTTGATATTTATGTAAGAATGTAACTAGAAATGATCAGGTTTGTAGAATATTTTGTTATCAGTATATTGAGGCTGTATCATCAACTGAAATTTTCCTTTAATCTTATCCTGTATTTGCTGATTTAACTTAATATCATCGGCTTTAGTTGAATAGTAGTGCATCATTTTCACTATATCTGTCTGTTGTCAGAGCCCCTTTGCCTTTGAATCTGATTTTTGAATTGCAGTATCTGTGTCTTAGATCTCAGCATGATTATTCTTCATCATCTCCTGTCTTTGTGTTCTATCCCCGCCATTCTAGTCTAGGCCTTTACATGTCAATGGTAAATTGCTATTATAACGTGCTTAAGGCATACTAATGCTGATATTTCAGGGTCCTTAACGAAAGAAGTTGGAGGATGATATATTTGATACTTTCTTGGAATAGTAATTTAGACCAAAGGATTTGATCTCTAGGAATGCTTTCGTGTACACTAATTATTTTGATCTGTTTATCTATATAAGTATTACTATATTAATTTTCTTGTGGTTTTAGCATCGTTTCTGAATTACTACATTTGATGCTTATTTTCTTGCAAATTATGTCTGATTTGCAGTATTTATTGACTATGATGGTGTGTCATATTGTTGCAGGTCTAGAGGAAAAATCATTTGTCAAGGCAGCAAATGGCGATAATTATATTAGTGAATTATGTGGTTCTCCAAGTCATGTGTCTCAGAACCAGCTTGAGGAATTCACTTTTAATCTGGAGAAGCTGGATGTCAATTCAATTGCTAATTTGGGCTCTTCACTCAATGAATTGCTTCAACCTGATGATCATTGTTCAGTTGATTCTAGTTTTGTTCGTTCTACCGCAATGAATAAGTTACTTTTGTGGAAAGGTGACATTTTGAAGGCAGTAGAAATGACTGAGTCTGAAATTGATTTACTTGAAAATGAACTCAAGTCATTTAAACGTGAATCAGGAGAGAGTTGTCCTAGTCTGGCAATATCCAGTTCTTTCCTATTGGAGCAAAATCAGAAACCTTGTGAGAAACAGGAGGCTCTCTCAAATTTGAGCTGTAGACCTACTCCCTTGCAAATTGATCAATGTGGAGATGCTGTTTTGGATACAAATCCTGTGTGTAATGGGGCAGTGGAAGTAGCTTGTGCTGATGTTAAGGATGAGGATATTGATAGCCCAGGAAGTGCAACATCTAAATTCACAGAACCATCATCTGTAGGGAAAGCAGTTTCTCCTTCTCATATTATTATAGACTATGGTGAATGTTCCAGGGACTTGGATGCTCTTCAATCTACAACAATGGAGGTATGTGTAGCTTCTGGCTGCAGTGATGTAGGGACTGGTATGCCTGCTTGTAAGGATGGGGGGTTGCTTCCAAAGATTAGCCACGATGCAGAAATTTCAGAATCTGTGAACTGTCATGGCATTGGAGAAAATATATCATATGATGTAATACTTTCTGCCAACAACGAATTGGCAAAAAGAGCATCTGAAGTATTTAACAAATTCTTGCCAAAAGATCATTGCCCTATTGATATTTCAGGAGTAGTTACCAGTGTAGCTAGCTGGCAGAGTGATTCTTTTATCAGAGAAAGGTTTTTGATGCGAAAGCGGGATTTAAGATTAAAGGAGAGAATTTTGACTCTCAAGTATAGAGCATTTCATCACCTATGGAAGGAAGATATGCACTTGCTTTCAGTAAGAAAATACCGTGCAAAGTCTCAGAAGAAATTTGATGTCACCTTACGAGCAATGCATGGTGTATATCAAAAGCATCGCCCCTCTCTTCGCTCTCGATTTTCTTTTCCTGGTAATTGTTCTCTACCTCATGCTTAATGCTAATGTTCTTAATGTTTAGGACTCTTATGCTAGATGGCTGATACTTTTAGGATTCTATTTTATCAATTCAATGCATATTGAGTAAATCAATATGTGGAATTGTATTGGTTCAAAGAAAGCTCTCTAGCTAATAGTTGCTCTTACAGTTATCCATGCCTGTTGATAACCAGTTACTCATTGCGCCTTCCATGAGTGTCAGCAGATGTCATGTATATCTATGCAGTTTGTATTATGCTAGGTGCTTGTCATGCTTATCTGTGGTTTAGACCATTTTTAGAACGTTGGACATTCAATCTTTAGCTGAAATTTTGCTTTCTGATTGATCAGTAAATATGGTATCGATGGATTGAGCATATATATTCAATGTTATTAATTTTGGCCTAACATTTTCCTTAGTAGTTACTTCGGACACATTGGATTGTGATTGCAACATTGTTTTTGTATAACTGAGTGCTTTGACTTTGATAAGTAGTAAGATGGTAATGATTCCTTAAATTCTCATATTTTGCTTTTCTTGGTGAATATTATAATCAGATATTTATTCTTAAACTTTAAGTATGTTCCATGTTGGCCTCTAACATTTGTGTTGCTTTATTTTTCTTACACATATAGAATGATCCTTTAGATATATACCAATAAAAAGATATTCCGTTTTTAATGGTTTTTGGACTAATTTTGCAGCAGGAAATCTGAGCTTGGTACCTACCATGGAAATGATTAATTTTGCAAGCAAACTGCTTTCAGAATCACAAGCTAAGCATCAAAGATGTGCCCTGAAAATGCCACCATTGATCTTAGATGAGAAAGAGAAGCAACTTTCAAGGTTTGTATCTACTAATGGATTGGTTGAAGATTCATGTGCTGTTGAGAAGGAGAGGTCTTTGATAAATCCTTGGACGTCAGAAGAGAAAGATGTTTTTATGAACAAGTTGGCTACATTTGGAAAGGATTTTAGAAAAATTGCTTCATTTCTTGACCATAAGACAACAGCTGACTGTGTAGAGTTTTATTACAAAAATCACAAATCTGATTGTTTTGAGAAAACAAAGAAGAAGCAGGATCTAAGTAAGCAGGGGAAATCTGCTACTAGTACCTACATGGTGACTTCAGGTAAGAAATGGAGCCGTGAAAGGAATGCTGCCTCCCTTGATATTTTGGGTGCAGCTTCAGTCATAGCAGCTCATGCAGAAAGTAGAAATGGAAATCGCCAGATGTCATCTGGTAGGATCTTTTTGGGAGGATGCTCTGAGTCTAAATCTTCTCGAGTTGATGATAGCATTGCAGAAAGATCAAGCAGTTTTGATTTTACTGGGAATGATAGAGAAACTGCAGCTGCTGATGTTCTAGCAGGTATATGTGGTTCCCTCTCATCAGAGGCAATGAGTTCTTGTATTACAAGTTCTGTTGACCCTGGTAGCTCTGAATGGAGGTGCCAAAAAGTTGATTCTCTTATGAAATGGACTTCATCTGATGTTACACAGAATGTTGATGATGATTCTTGTTCAGATGAGAGTTGTGGGGAACTGGATCCTGTTGATTGGACAGATGAGGAAAAATCTATTTTTGTACGGGCATTCTCATCTTATGGTAAGAATTTTTCAATGATCTCACGACGAGTCAGAACAAGGTCCCAGGATCAATGCAGGGTGTTCTTTAGCAAGATTCGTAAGCGCCTTGGACTGGACTCGATAAATCCAAGAGCCAGAAACATGGGAACATCTATGAGTGATGATGCGAATGGTGATGGGAGTGACATGGAAGAAGCTTGTGTTCTGGAGAGCTCGATAGTTGGTGGTAAGCAGGGTTCTAAAGTGGATGAAGACTTGCCTTATGTTGTGACCATGGATGAGGTAGGATCCGATCCTGCTGGGAATGTCAACTTAGAGACTGACCTGAACAATTCAGAAAATAACAAACGGATGAGAATTCTTGATCACAGTAATTCTGAGGCTGTGGAATCTGTTGTTTCTGACGGCAGTTGGTTGGAGGTCAGGCCTCAGCCAAACTGCCGGAGACATGTCAACTATGTTGAACATAACCAGCTAGAGTTGGAGCCAGCTCAGGAAAGTGTTGCACTAACTGATTTGGAAACTAGCAAAGATCAACTGACTGAGCAGTGCACATCTGTTGCAGTTTCCACATCTGTTGGGGAGGTAGTTGATGCTTGCCGATGTAATATAATTTCTGAGACTGAGCTCAAATCTTTAGCTCAGTGTTCTACTAAGCCATTAAAAAATGATCTGAAGGTTCAGGGACCTTTATTGGCTAAGAGCAAATCAGATGATCGAGATGAAGAATGCAGTGCAAAGACAATTAGTCAAGGTAATTTTTTACTAGATTGTAATTTAAACCATGATGATTCCTGCCTATGTGTTAATTCAAGTTTCTTTTTCAGGTTTCAGTTTGAGCCCTGAAGTTCTGCATCCAGTTCCTCTTGAGTTGGATTCATCTGGAAAGCCATCTGTCCTGTTGGCACAGGAGGTTACTTATGCAGTTCCTAATTCCAAGTCAAAAGATTCTGATGCCTCTAAATGCGATAAGGTGTCAAACCAAGATAGGATGTCATCAACACATGATTTTCAGGACAGTGGAGAGAAAAGCAGTCACAAATCTGTTAGTGGAGATGAGTATACTGTATCAAATCATGGTGAATCCTCCCAGATCTCAGTGCTGCCAGCTTCAACCAAGAAAGAAATAAATGTTGATGCAGGTTGCATACAGCATTCTGAAGTTCAAAGCCTTCGGAAGTCAGATAGGGATGTGGGTAGTCGGTACTTGGCACAGGATTGCTACCTCAGAAAATGTAATGGTTCAAAATCTCAGTCTTCAATAGCTGCAATTTCATTTTTGTCGCAAAACTTGGAACAACCCAGTGATCATCCAAGGGCGCATTCCCGAAGTCTCTCCGATACAGAAAAACCTTGCAGGAATGGTAATGTCAGGTTGTTTGGTCAGATCCTCAATTCCAGTGGAGATGAGAATGACAAGGGGACCAATTTCATGAAACAGAGTGCCAAGTCATCTAATTCAAAACTCAATGGTCATAACCAAGTGGATGGAAGTACAGCTATTTTGAAGTTTGACCGTCATAATTATCTGGGACTGGAGACTGTTCCCATGAGTTTTGGTTACTGGGATGGGAGCAGAATACAAACTGGGTTTTCGCCTCTGCCTGATTCATCTATTTTGATGGCAAAGTATCCTGCTGCATTTGGTAACCATTCTGCAGCCTCGTCCAAAATGGGGCAGCGGGCATTGCCAACTTGTGGGAAGAGTAATGAGCGGAATTTGAATGCTGTTTCAGTTTTCCCTGCAATGGATATAAGCAGCAATGGTGGGGTGATGGATTATCAGATGTATAGAGGCCGTGATGGTTCAAAAGTGCAGCCTTTTAGTTTGGATATGAAGTCCAGACAGGAGATATTCTCTGAGATGCAAAGACGCAATGGAGCTGATGTGATCCCGACTTTACAGCAACAAGGGAGGGGAATGGTTGGAATGAATGTTGTAGGGAGAACAGGGGTACTTGGAGGTAGCACAGGTGTGTCAGATCCTGTGGCTGCCCTTCGCTATGCCAGAAGTGAGCTGTATGGCGGGCAGAATGGGAACATTGTCAGGGAAGAAGAATCATGGAGAGGCAAGGAGGACATAGGCAGGTAGTAGTTCTAGAAGGGAGCTTAGCGGCAAATCTCTGCCGCTCAGTGTATAATAGTTTTTGCATTGTTTTAATTTAAAATGATAGGGCAGAAGTGGACGGTTCTGAAGCCCGTCTTTTTGGTAAAAAGGGATATTTTAGGAGTTTGTATTATTTCAGCAGCTTTGTATTTGTTGTATTCGATGGAAAATACAGGAAATAATCAGTGAACATTTGGGAGGGTCCAGCTTTCCTGTTAGTCTCCAATCTAACAATTGACCATTGATTTGCCAAATCTACCTTTTTTGGCCGAAATTTTCAACTGTAGGATTGCACGAGTTTCTTAGAGATGATGTAAAGGGTTTGTTTTGCAGTAATTTTGTTTGCGCAGGTATGCTTCATTGGAGACTTGTATTTAACAAACAAGACTAGGAGACATGATGAGATGGAGAATATACATACCTGCAGGATTATCATATGCCCCTTCTCTAGCGAGACTTTCATCCAGGAGTCAAAAACTACTTTGTTGGCCCCAGCAATATAAAGAGAAACACCTGTTGAAAATGTACCATAAAAAACATCTCCAATGCCGTGGTTGACTTAGAAACCATCCGAGAGTGCCAAATATCTTATCATTGTATTCTGGTATCTGAAAAAAATTACGGCAATATAAGAAATTCAACCTGCCCTTTTACTTTCTTTCCTCTTATTGAAAACTAAAGAAAGAGGTTAATTTGCTAACGTAATGTTGGATACCTCTGTTGTCATAATGATGTTGAATACCTTGAACCACGTTGAAATGACCATCCAAGATATAGCAAAATGAAGAAGGGTACCTGGACCAATATTTGGTTTGCTAGCACATCTCTCTCAAGGGCCTTGACTTCACTCAAATCAGGTTTAACTAGTTACAAGAAAAAGGTAACAAATGATGAATATTGGAGGCAAATATATGTAATCGGAAATTCAAAGCACAGATGTATAAATGTCTAACTTAATATTTAGAAACATCACTACAAGATTATCACAACCCCTTTGAATTGTCTGGCAACAGCATTCAAATGCTGAAACCAAAAGACTAGATAAATAAACCTGAAAGCAAAGCAAGATATTGCCCTTTGGCCAGCCCAGGATATTGCATATTGGGAAGGGATTTCCTGAGCAGACTGGCTAAGGAAGAGGCCTTTGTTGTTTTCTAGGACTTCACTGTCTCCAACACCCTATATATGGCTGAGCAACCCTTGGTAAGTTGTTGTTAAGTTATAGCTTACTGTATATTCTTTTCCCTTTGTACCAAAAAAAGAAGAGCAAGTAGAAAAGGAAACTGAACTGCTGATATGTTACACAGGGAAGAAAGCTAAAAGTAATAAAATTCACTATATCATATCCAGATCTTCAAGTTAGCAAAAGGAAGAACTATTAATCTGTAATGAAATAGATAATGTGTGATTAAACCTGATGTGCTAATGAATTGGAACAGAATGCGATTCCTGACTTTTTTCCAATTTTTCTTTGATCAGCAATGATTCCTGACTAGTTAAAGAATAACTATGCTTACTTCACCACCACTACAGCTGTGTCAAACCTGTTCAGCAAATAGATTATGTGTGTGGGAACAGGAAGTGATTCCTGAATTGTTAAGGAATAACTCTGCTTACTTCCCCACCACTAAAGCTGTGTCAAAACTATTACCTGCTGAAAAAGGCCGCCAAGGCAAAACTTGCAGACTTGAAGGCTTATTCAAAGCAATCTAAACAAGATACCATGAACCATAACAAGATATATATTTAACCATGACTGCCAACATCACAATCGACCAGCCAAAGTGCTCCAGTAAACTATATCAGTTTAAGCTCCAAAACTCTATTTCTCATATGCTTCCATAAATCAAAAAGATGATGCAAAATACTGGATCTTAAAAAAAGTGGAATTCAATCAGAGGTGCTTACCTTATCATCATCCTCTTATAATACTAGAGAGCACATCCAACTCCTTCCCAGAAATCCTATCATACACCAGTTCCGAGCCAGCTCTGAAAATTTCAATTCAATCAACAAAACAAGGAAACTAATAAATAATCCATCACTGTACCATTGCTTCACAACAAAGGAATAATAATCTGAAAATTGATTTCCATTTTCTGGAACTTTCAAGAATCGAATCGAATTGAACCTGTTCATTTTAGATTCGCTGCAACCATCTGTTGAAGAATTGATAATTATTAACAGAAAAGAAAAAAATACCATAGCTTTGCAACCAAGAAATAAGAAAAAAAAAAGAGATAGTTTAGAAAAAAGTTTACTTTGTAAAAAGCTGAATTTTTTGTATTAACTCAATCGGTGTCAACTCTGCAACAATTCAAGTGGAAAAAGAAGAGAAATTAAGATATAATTGCAGAAATAAAAAATTAAGAAGAAGAAAAAGGAATTAGGTTAGGATTTTGGCAATGTTCTAATCGACGGCAGAAGATTGATTCGAAGAACATAGTAGAGAGGGAGATTACCGGAAGCGGAGGCCGGAACAAACGTCGATGTAGTATATGCCGTCATCCAGATCTGGCCATGGTGCTCCGAACACCAGAGAACGAGATTCCGACTGAGCTCGTGAATCGTTCGCTATATTTGGATCACGGAGCTTCCCGCTTCCGGCTTAGGCTAGTTGCCTTTTTCCATTTATTTCTTATTGATTTCTTCTTGCTTTAACTAACTATGAGTTTGCCGACCCTATCTTTATAATTTGGATTGTAAAGTGTTTTTTGTTTCCTATCACGGTTCAAACTGTATGATATGTACTTTTATTTATAAAATTTATTATCTTCTACTTTCTTCGTGAATATTTCTTACCGTTATTTTTTATATAATAGGTGATAAGTTAAATAAAAATATAAATAAAAGATTTTTAATTATTTTTTTATATAGATTTATTAACTGTAATTACTTTTTTTTTTATGTTAGTTGTATGATGGGAGACAACTTTCTCTTATCTCTTATCTTACGTCATCTGTATGCTATGCAACTCAAATTTAAAATTTATTATTTTCAATGAAAAAAGATTATCATTCGATCTACTTTTTATATTTTAAAATAGTACATGACAAAAAAACCTAATACTACCATTTAACAGTATCAAATGAAGCCTTAATTTGGAAGAATTAAAGTTCATATCCTTGTTGGAAAAGAAAGCAGCCGAAAGTCACAAAATCCCTCTCCTTTTTTTTTCTCATGTGATGAGCTAACTTGTTAAAATTTTTATGGGAAAAGGGAGAGGTGAAGAGGAAAAAAAATAAAAGTTTAAACCTTGATCATATAAATGAAAAAGTACATTTTTACCAGTAATTTAACTAAATACTCTACGTTATAGAGCGATTCATTTATAGTATGTTAAATTGAAAAATAATTTCTTAATATTGTACTCCTATATGAATAAAAAAATTTTTCCGGGGCCAATGCCACTTCTGTTTACTGGTCCACCCATCCAATTCTTGCAAAAGAAATTTCAAACGTTTGAGCAAGAGTTACTCGGCATAAAAAATATATATATATATAGTGCTACAAGGAAGAATATATAATCCATATTCTGTATCTTTATTGTCAATCAATTGCCGTGAACATGTCTAGCGGAGTACTTGGTGACTAGACCCAGAATGTATAACGTGGGAAACATGGAACAAACAAGCTCTTGACATACGCTATTACAATAGCCATAAGATATTTAATGACAAGATATGGGGAGAAAGAAATCAGCATAATACATCTGTAGTTGAGGGTGGCACCGGCACGGCCAACTGAAGAGGAACTGGTTCCCATTCCACGTGTTGGCCGCAGCGACCACCTTTAACCGCAACAACTTGTAAATGACTTGAATCACCTGCAGAGGCTTCCTCAAGAGATGACTTTTTTGCTGTCACTGCCTTGAGCCGATATCGCTCTGCCCTAGAGCCAATGACCTGTCCCAGTATAGAGGCTGCAATGGTGAAGGCCATGGCTGTTTTAGGCATCAAAACAGACTTCCTAAGAATGGCTATGAATGGAACTGCTGCATGGACAGCCGCAAACCAAGACGGTGAAAATTTTTCAGTATGTTCTCTCCATATTCCTAAAGGAACATTTGCTGCCATGCCTAACAACCCAATCACAAGTACTTTTGCAGGCAAGGGCTGAGGACGAAGGTTCTTTGCAAAAGCAGTTCGTGCCAGTGCTGCTCGTGCAGCAACAATTGCTGGTGGGCACCTAAGTTGCATTCCTGGAGGAGGTTGGAAAACCTTTGCAACGAGTGGCAGAACATTGCTGACTGCTCTATATGACTTTGCAATTGGGCAATTCCCACTTTGCAGCCATTCATTGCTCAATGCCTTATGGTTAGACTTTCCTCCCTGAAAGATGAACAAATATTCAGATAGCAGTTTTAGAGAATATTTTCAAATCCTTAAAGACATTAAGCTATTGCCCCTAAGTTTGAACCAAATACTACATCATGACACCAACCATCAAGCAAATTGGTTTATGCAGAACAGAAACTAACATGCAATTACCTTTGAAGAAGAGTCCTTGGATGATTTTGATTTTCCTTTTTGATTCTTCCACATATTAGAAAATGCATCAAAGCCAAAGGGTCCTCCAAGTCCAAAGGACGAGAGACTAATAGTAGCTGCCTTTGCAACCAAAGGATTAAACTGTGGTGAGGCAGGCTTAGGCTCTACTTTCTCAATCCATGGGAAAGATCCCTCAGACAATGGGACAACTCCATCACGTCCATGGAAAAGCCTGAATGCCATATCAAAATTGGGCCCATCTTCGAAAATTGGGCCTTTAGCTGTTCGAACCTGAGCAAAAAATGTGGAAAATAACAATAAGTTCCCTGATTTCACAAATGTAAAAACAAGATACATGATGAAGAAAGCACAATGCTAGTGACAAGCAATACAACATCTAAAGGCAAACAGAAGACAAAATTCTGGTCAGAAATCCATTAACTGACCGGCATGGGGAAAGGCATGGCCGAGGAGAAAGAAAAGTTGGTTGGTTCATTGATGTTTCTCAAAAATGGACACCTAAGAATGTCCATGTGAGAAGGCGCAGAATCGTCACTTGGGCCTCTGAAGAAAAAATCCATTTCGAAGTTACTGCACACAGAAAAGAAAAGGTCATGATCAAAACCTCCACAGTGCAAAGAGTAAAAAGACATCCACAATATGAACAATTCAACAAACAAGATTACAAAATGGTCAGAAAAATCAAAAGCCACCAAAGACAGCAATCACTATGAAATTATGAATTCAGTAAAAACATTTTGCATTTATAATAAAACTTGAAAAAGAAGATGATGATTCGCCATCAACCAACCACACAGTGATTAGATCAATTAAGCTTCTAACAAGCAATCTAAAAGGCAGTCAAATTTGGGATAATAAAATGCAGAAGATTCCGATTCATCCTTTCAGGAACGTTGAAATGAAATCCTAGAGCTCGAAGTAAGAAGTACCAAAGCACATGGAACAAACTAAAGAACTAAAAATTCCACAAGTTGAGCTCAAAGAAAAATCCCGCAAATGCTCTATGATTATATACACAGGAGTCTTCCATAGAAGATCAAACAGAAAACTAAAGACCAAAATTGGCAAAAAATACATAAACCATAAAGAAGAAAGCTAAGATCGCAAAACTTAATGAATCATCATCCATATTCACCACAAAATTGAAATTTCTGAATCCTACCCCAAAAAAAAAAAAAAAAAAACTCATAAAATCTGGAAACGAAGAAGGGAAACAATACAGATCCGTCGGAGTCGAAATCATATCGTACCTTATGCGAGCGAGGAGGAGGAAATGGGGGGAACGAGAAGTCAAAGAAGAGATGAAGAATGCAGATGAAGAAAGGAATTGGGAGAGTGTTTGGTGTAATGATGGAAAGAGAAAAATGCAGACGATTTGTTTATTAGCAGAGAAAAGAGGGCAGTAAACGACGCCGTGCTGACCACACGCCTTTCGAAAAGATGATGGACTTGGTAATTTTGGGAAGACCACATCAAATTGGAATGGGTTGCGGCGGCCACAGCTGGCAGTGGCACGCCGCATGTGTATTATCCCTATGGTTTGACTTTTATTTTATTTGACGGGATCTCCGCGCGGTTCACATTGAAGATTTTTCTTTCTTTTATGATAGACACCGAGCCAGGCACACTCTTTGAAAGCGAAAATCAGATAAAACCTATTTTTAATTATTTATTTTAATAAATTTTTAAGTTTTAACTATTTATCTTATATTATACTATGATACTTTAAACTTTTCATTTATATGAGTTGAAAAAAAAATCCTCACTTAAGGTCAAATTATAACATTTTATTAGTTATACTAATTAATTGTTAATTATATTAGTTGATTATTAATATTTCGTTAGTATTTCATTAATTATTAATGAAACTAACAAATAAAATTGAATTTAAATTTTATGTTTTTTATAATAAAATACTAACAGATGCTAATAATTAACTAATATAATTAACCGTATAAATAAGAGGCTAAAAGTATTATAGTATAAAGTGATGGTTTAAAAGTATTATACTATAAAGTGATTGGTCAAAACCTATAAATTTATTAAGGTAAATGGCTAAAAGTGTTATAATATAAAGTAAAAAATTAAAACTTACAAATTTATTAAGGTAAAGAATCTAAAATAGGTTTTTGCTGCCAAAATCCACACCCAATTTAATAGTAGGCGCGAATTCATCCTTAAATAAAAGGAATAAATTTATTAATAAAGTTTTTAATTGTTATTAAGTATCTTAAATTTAATGTATGATGTTAATAATTTATTTATAATAAATTTATTGGTAGTTCATTAAGTTAGTAAATTATTGATATCTTGATGTGATATATTAAATTTAAAATGATATATTTAAGTTAAAAATTTTATGAATAAATTTATTCTTATTTTTTTGTTCAAGAGTGCATTTATCTTTCTTGCTTAACTTTGAGAATAATTTAAGTATTCTATCTTTAAAGACTTTGATATTTTTTAGTGTGTGCCATAAAATAACAATCTTTTATTTTTATTTTTTGATTAACTCAATTTATATATATAAATTTTTTGAATATGGGAGAATTTTGGAAAATGAA